TGGTACTTTTTCAACATGAGGACTCATGTTACTATTTGATACAGGAGTACTAGGTACAACATTATTTGTCACAATAGTGTTATTTGACATGATAGGGTTATTAGACACAATAGGGTTATTCGACACAATAGGGTTATTTGACACAATAGGGTTATTCAAAATTTCACTCTTACTAAACATAGGATTTGATTTACTTAGCCTAATGTCATTAATATGATATAACTTAATATTGTCACCACATTTAACTAAATAAGTGCTATAGCTCATACACCTAACAACTTTACCTTTTTGCCAGAGATTTGTGTTTAAAAAGTGTGTTTAAAAGTGTTTTTAACCGCCAGCTTAGTTGCAAAGCAACCCTCGAAAGTCAGAGACTTGTGTGAGTTAAGAAGACGGGGACCTTAGCTTTTTAAGTGTCATCCGAAGCACTACTCGGCTGGTAACCGTGGACAGTCCAAAGGATTGATATCTAGGTACCAAGAATGTTGGGTTGGCCACCTATCTCCTCCCGCCCAACGAAACTACCGAAAATTAATTCAGTGCTCGCGCCGGGGATCGAACCCGGACCGCCTGGGCAACAGCCAGCGACTCTACGCTCACGGCCACCACAAAAACTTCATCGTTTTCTGAATACAACTTAATTTTTTGCAAAATGTCAGGTTGAAGGGACTTTTGTTTCTTTGACCATGGTTTTAGCAAATCAAATCTAGTACGAGGACGAATTTTAAAAACTGTTTCAGCTGGTGACAATCCTGTGGAAGTACTTGGAGTATTTCTATGTACAAATAAAAAGTTTTCTAATCTATTTAAGATAGTGGTTTCATTTACATTTTCTCCCTCTTCAAATAAAGCTTTTTTTAACCCTTTTTTTATTGTTTGGACCCCTTTTTCTGCTAATCCATTGCTTTCTGGATGTTTTGGTGGAATTCGAATGAATTTTATCCCGTTTGCATGACAGAAAGAAGTAAATTCATAAGAATTACCAAATGGTGGACCATTATCGGATACAAGTTCTACTGGTAATCCAAATACAGAAAAAACTTGCTTCAACTTTAAAATTGTTTCTCTCACGTTTGTGCCATCATTCATAAGTTTAACTTCGCACCAACCAGACTTATCATCTACAAGAATCAAAAATGTGAAGTTATCTTTTTTGAAAAAATCGACATTTACTCGGTAGAAATTATTAGGAGCAGTTGGCCAAGGAAGTAATACTCCGCTGTTTGAAAAATTTTGGGTTTGTTGGCATACCTCGCAAGAATTGATATACTGCTCAACGTCTTCATTAATACCAGGCCACCAACAGTAAGACCTAATAAGCATTTTAGTTCTTACTATTCCTATATGTTGCTCATGAAACAAACTTAAAATATCCTTTTGCAGTTGTTTTGGGATTACAACTTTATTACCAACTAGGACACACCCATTATCAACAGAAAATTCTAATTTTCTTTTGAAATACGGTTTCAAATTGTCATCATTTGTAGAATTTGGCCAACCAGTTAGAGTAAGATCAAGGACTTTGGACAAAATTATGTCTTTTTTTGTTGCTATGGCTATTTTTTCATAAGTGATAGGTACTTCATAGGATAAGCTAAATGAAAATATTGCATCAGAGATTTCAGTTTGACTGTTCATTGGTAATCTTGAGAGACCATCAGCATTCGAAATTTCACTACCTTTCTTGTAAATAATGTCATATTTATAAGCTGATAATGTTATGGCCCAACGAGTGATTCTAGCTGCAGCTGTAACAGGAATATTCTTATTTTTTCCAAAAATGAACTGGAGAGGTTGATGATATGAGATCAAAGTAAAATTTCGTCCAAAAATGTATTTGTGAAATTTTTTTAAGGCAAATATTATTGCTAAACTTTCCCGTTCTAAATTTGAATATTTCTTTTCGTTTTCGCTGAGAGTGGAGGAAGCAAATAAAACCGGTTTTTCAACACCATCGATTTTATGGCTAAGCACTGCGCCAACCCCGTATCCACTGGAATCACACGTTATATATATATGAAGTGTTGGATCATAATGTGTTAAGACATCATGAGAAATAATCAATTTTTTACTATCCTGAAAACATTTTTCACATTCACTTGTCCATGTATACTCAGTATTACCCTTACATAATTCATACAATGGCTTTAGTTTGGTAGACAGCATAGGTATAAACTTACCATAAAAATTAAGTGAACCTAAGTAACTTTTCAACTCTGTGATATTTTTTGGTGAAGGTGCTTTCTGAATACATTCAATTTTTCCATCTGTAGGATGAATTCCTGATGCATCAACTCTATGACCTAGAAACATTACTGAACGATCAAAAAACTTACATTTTCTTTCGTTAATTTTTACATTATATTTCAGTAATCTTTCTAACACTTTTTTAACATTCTGATAGCATTCATCCCTCGTACAACCATGCACCAAAATATCGTCTAAATAGCATTTAGTCTTTGGTAATTCAGATAAAATAACCTCCATCACACATTGAAAAATTCCTGGAGCGCTACTGACACCATAGGTTAATCTGTTAAATCTAAAAAGACCAATGTGGGTATTTATTGTGAAAAGTTCTTTAGAAGCATCACTTATCTGAAGCTGCTGATACGCCCCTTTTAAATCTAGAACACAGTAATACTCACTACCATGTAATGTAGCAAAGATATCAGAAGGTAATGGTAAAACGCAATGGTCACTGTCAATTGCTAAGTTTAGCGTTTTTTTGAAATCAACGCATATTCTGACATCTCCAGAGTTTTTTTTTGGGACTACAACAATTGGACTTGCCCAATTGCTGTGGGATACTTTGGTCAAAACACCAGACTTGACCATCTTGGTAAGTTCCTCCTCGACTTTCGGTTTTAATGCAAATGGCATTTCATATGCCCTATGAAAAATAGGTTTGAATCCTTCTTTTATCTTTATCTCAGCTTTAAAATCTTTGATTGAAGTGTGTGGTTCTTCCTCAAAGAGTGACTTATACTCTTGTTTCAAAGAAGCAATCAACTTCAACTTGACATTTTCCGACTCTGAACTTGAAACTTGATTTGACTGAAAAATGACTTGACTACAATTGACTTGACTACAATTGACTTGACTAAAATCGACTGGACTACAGCTTTTTATCTGAGACTTATCTAAACTGGACTTTTCTGTTACTACACTTCTATCTAGCAATGTATTTCTCCAATTTTTATTTAACATATTTAGCCAATTTCTACCTAAGAGTGGTACGAACTTGATGTCTGATTTTAGGACAACCAAAGGCAAATAGTACATCTTACATAAGTATCTAACATGCACAAATACCTGACCTAAAATTTCTGCTTTTTGCCCTGTCAAAACTCTTAACTTAAAATTTACAGGCTCTAGGACTAAATTGTTGAATAAAGACTTGAAGTCTTGCTCATGCATAACTGACCTTACTGCACCCGAATCAACCTCCATTTCAAGATTTTGTTCATCGATACACAATTTAACTTTTAGGGTATCAACAAAACTTGTTTTAAGCAAATTTAAGGTACATTCCTCAGACAATGAACCTAGTTCAAAATTTTCATCTGACTCCTCTTCAAATTCCTGGTTTTCCTCTTCTTCTTGCAACTCAAAAACTCGGTTTTTACACATGGGAGCTTTTGCAGTGTGCCCTGTCATATTATAGGAAAAGCACTTCCAATTTATTGCTGGACATTTGTTGTTGTCAAAATGCATACGACAGCATCTTCTACACTTCTGCCTTTGACTATATGACTGACTTTGACTATTGCTTGGATGATGATGACTACTACTTGGTTGACTTTGACTGCTAGACGACCTATTATGACTGACTTGCCCTGACTTGACTCGGTTTTGACTTGACTGTGACTTGTTATACTGACTTGACTTATGCTTGTGATATACTTTATTCAAATTATGACCAGAATCCATAGCTTTAACCTGCCCCTCAGCTAACTCCATGCAAAGAGCAGTTTTTAGGGCTGCTTCGAAGCTATGATCTTCTTCTAACAGTTTTTGTTTAATATCCTCAGACCTAATTCCAGATATCAATCTGTCTCACAAAGCATCATTCAAAAAGTCACCATAGTTACAAGTTTTGGACATACTTTTCAATCTTGCAACGAATGCTGTGATAGTTTCTCCTGGCTCCTGGTAACTGTTGTTCATCTTGAAGCGTTCTGCTACGACTAGCCTTTTGGGACTGTAGTGATCTTTTAATGCTTTCACTAAATCGGCGTATGACTTTGAATCAGGCAGTGCAGGTGACACAAGATCTTTCAACCTGCTATATCCTTCTCCCCCAATAAAAGTGAGTAGAAGCGGCACTTTTTTTGTGTTTGCAATATCATTCACTTTAAAAAGCTGCTCTAACCGTTCTATCCACGATGAAATGTCTCCAAACTTTGGGTTAAAATGCTCGATACTCCCGATTAAAGACATGTTTGTTGGGTATTGACTTTCAGACAGACTAGACAGACTGGACTTTCAGACAGACTAGACAGACTTTATTTTACTCGAACTGAAGAGACCATTGATTGATAGGCTGCTTGCTTAGAAGAAAAAAAACGGCTACCTTACTTCATGACCTTCACTGGCTTCAATGTCACACATCACAAAAAAAATATGACCACGGATTCGTCTCGGTTCTCGTCGCCAGAAATGTTGTGTATTAGACTAGGAATTAATACACCATTGGTATTCTACTTAACACAGATTTATTAATTAACGATAAATCTAAAGACGGGCATTGTTCTACCTCGAACATACATAATACATGATACAGCCGTCACAGGTTGACACTGTTGACAGTTGGACATTCCGTGTAGCCAACCTATCTTGTAGTACCAACTTAACCTAGAAGTCTGTTCGTAACAAGAGTTCAAAATACATAGCATGGTTTAATTCGATAAATATGTGGAAACATAACAAACACATTATAATTGAATATACATTAATATGATAAAAGCAGAAATAACGCAACAATACAATTCATTTACCAGGTGGATACTGTGATAATTGTTTCAGTTGTTTTAAAACAGTTTCAAGAAGTCGTTTTTTATCTCGTTCACTCTTTTTGAGTACTGTGAACATCGCCTTCTTGTCACCTTCTTTCAACCTAGAAAAACATTCAGTTAATATATTCCTATAATCCTATAAGGACAGAATCATTACTTTTCTAATAATAAAATAGCAGCATCAGGATGTACTTTTTTGTATTTGCTGGTGTCTTTCCCATAATCGTGAAAGTATGTTGGCCAATCCCAGGATATTAATAAATCTAAGATTTCTCTCAAGTTATTGAAATATGATAGTAGGGTATCTTGATTTAAACCTTGAACTGGTTCAGAGGCAGCAAATTCTGTAAGAACAAAAAAGTGAAACACAGCAGTTATTAGTTTTTCTTCGTAATTTGTGCGTTCATGATAATAGGGTGTATTACTAACACTCAGTTTTTCTTGGACACTCAAAATACCTTGAAATCTGGTTTTCGATTTTTTAATAAAACTGACAGTTTTCCGCCCCATCCAACCTAAAAAAACGTTACCTTCCAAGGATACTATTGGCCAGTATTGGCGTGATGTCAGAAGCCTGACGCTCCAGCTAGCATGTTTATTTTTGTCAAATCTTAGTAATAATGTTAGTTTTCATTTTGGATGATCGAATTGTATCTCTTCTCAACTGTATATTATTATCCATGGACGAGCCCTCCCCTATATTCACTTTTTTCCATCGAGAAAAAAGGAGTATGCCGAAGTTGAATGCCGCTTTGAAGCATAACGGGCCTCTTAAATTTGATAATACATTTTTTCAAGTGACTGTTTTTTGTGATCACGAATATAATGTGTTATACCATCTTTGAACATATTGAACACATTTTTAGGTAGGTATTTGAAATGCACATTCAACAATTCATTTTTAGACTCAAAGGACAATAAGGGATTCTTAGTTGGGGCAACCCAACCAGAGATAATAGTAAGTTACCCACAGAACAAGATTCCTGTTCAGTGGTTCTGGATCAACTACCAGATAGATTTTGTGCCATTGATTTCAAAGAGTGAACATATCTTTCTCCAGATCCTATTCGATTTGACATTCATTATGTAAAAACAAAAATGATAATTGATCTCTATGATTTGTCAACATGGTCATCTCGTTTTTATGTTCTTGGTGTATTTTTTTGAAGGATGATTTTTGCAAGAATATGTGTATTTAAACTGTTCTAGTGTTTGCAGTTGCATTGATATTAACGTGATAAAAACACTGAAAGCAATTAGCAAACGATTTATAAGTACGGCAGCATTTTTAAAATATATTTTCCTGGTGTTTGAGATTTTGTCAATTATCTTGTGTTTGCATATATGTTAATTCAATAGAGCAATTAATAGGACGATTGGTGAAATTGACCATGTCAGTACTTATTAGCAATTGAGTGAAAAACGTTATTTCATTATTTTGAAGTACCATCATTCATTTCTTTACTCTCGCAAACCGTTTCCTCCCCAGAAATTCACGATGTTTCATTACATGAAAATCGCGAGACAGCGCGTGACGTCATAAACCGCGACTTATGTATTGTGTATATTTCAGTACCTTCTCACTGCTGTGGAAGTGAATTCTCATTCTATGTGGTTGTTGAGCAATAAGACACGAATTGTGCTCATAGGTTAGGTAGGGTTGTTATTTTGATTATTGAGAAAGATACATTTGTGATCATTTCAAATCCTGAAAGACTGTGTCGAATACTATTAACACATGAATTGATCCAAATGAAATAGAAATATGGCATAAAATCGACTAGTGTGTACAACCTCATTTCTTCTTTGTGAAGTTACGCCACAGTTCTAATAATGTTTGGAACAGTTTCAGCTAACTATGAAGTATCAGATATTAGCAGGTACATCTCGCAAGTCTTGAGCAAAGCAAACCATTGGAAAACAATATGACGAATGCTTCATGTCATAACATGGTGTGAAGCTCTTACCCTGTCATAACATGGTGAAGGTGCTACCCTCAATAACTTAATTTCGTCATTCCTGCATTTTTGAACATTTGAAACATCATATAGAATCAAAAATTGAAAGAATTACAATGCTCTGATAAAAAATGACTGATCAGGTCAGTTCATTCCAAAGGACATATAAAAACAAAAAGATGAAGAAATTACATTTGGGTAATAAGAGCACATGGAACATTCGCTGAATAAATTCCACATCTGAATTATTATACCTACATCAGTTTGAAATTCTTATCATGGCATGGAATTGTGACATACGAATATCTGATAGACGAAGGATTGGAAATAAATTCAGAATAATAGCAAAAGGTCGAATGAACAATCGAGGTGCATCATTCGCAGGATATAGAAATCAAAATTATTAATAATTATACTTACGTTCACACTGAAGCAAATCCAAATTGAGTTGATTGAGGACACCCATAGAAATTTGTTTAACTTCATCATTCATCAAGAGACTCAATAAATGATTTGCAATGTGTTCACATGCTGATTTACAGGCAATTTGGGCAGCCTCGAGCTGAAAAACAAATGATGTAGAAGCAATATTCCTCATGATTAGATAGGCATAGAGCTCAGTGAAACGGTAACGATGAAAATCCTCTCGTGGAAAAAATCCAAGTAGTCGGTTTCTCTGCGGTTATATATGTTTTTGGGGGTGTTGAATCTCCGAGATATTCGCAAAAACAGCAAAGTTTTCGCACTTTTTGCCCGTTCTCGAAAAATATACAATTTATAGAAAATACCGCAAAATAGAGAGTTGAAATAAATAGTATTTTCTATATGAGTAGGAGAGATGTTTCTAAAGTGCTCAGAATTATCGTGCAATGATAAAAAAGTTACGCAAGGAGTATTTATATACTTATATAATAATTTCTGATGTTTCTAAAACCTTAATAATAATAATAATAAATGTTCTTTATTGGTTAAAACCAAATGGCCATCGACCGAGGTCCTTCAGCCGAAAAGCCGTCTAAAACCTTATTTCCACAAAATAATACTATTGCTCTTTGAGATTTTGCTGCGTCTTCCATGGTTACAAGAACAATGCCATGAAAACGCGTCTATATATATATATATATTTTTTATCGCTTGGAGCGCACGAAAGGGAATCCCTATAATGTTCAAAGAACATCGTGCGTTCCTAGGGAGGATAGGGACAGGAGGTAGGTATTGGAATTTTTTTTGAACTTTTGGAGATTATATGTTGTTGGGAATACTTCCACAGGCAATGAATTCCAGAGCCTAGCCGTTTTATGGATGAAGGAGTCTTGATAAAGTGCTGTTCGACATCTTTCGAGGTTGACAACAGAAGGATGTGCTGACTGGGCTTGTCTAGTTCGTCTGATTGGTATTGCTAGTGAAGGGATGATAGCAGAGATTTCCGAAGAACATTTCCCGTGGAAGTATCGATAGAAAAGTGAAAGGTCGCCGACCTTTCTACGGTGTTCCAATGATGTCAAAGAGTGAGTGAGTGTGGCGTCACCCACCAGGCGAATGGCTCTTCTCTGGATGGAATCTAAGAGCATCAGCGTATGTTTTGGTGCTGAACCCCATATGTGGGAACAGTATTCTAGAACAGGCCGTATCTGCGCTTTGTAGATCATGAGAAGCTGTTGAGGTGTTAAGTAGCTTTTCGCACAGAACAAGAATCCGAGTTTTTGTGAAGCAGCTTTTGCGATGGATCTGACATGATTATCCCATGAAAGAGTGTTGCTGATGGAAATACCGAGCATAGATATGGTGGGCTTGGTGGGGATGGTGGAGCCAGAGATTACAATATCGGGCATACTGAGTTCCGCCTTTCTAGGAATAATGTTGGTGCCAAGATTGATCCTTGTGGAATGCCGGAATTGATGCCAATGGTGTCAGACGATACACCGTCCACCACCACGTGAAGCGATCTGCCTGAAAGAAAACTCGATAAGAGATGGCATAGCTGAGGTGGTAAGCCGTATGATGGTAGTTTGTGGAGGAGTGCTTCGTGCCAAACACGGTCGAATGCTTTCGATATGTCCAACGCGACAGCTAGAGATTCCCCGTGTTTTTCTATTGAAGATTGCCATAAATGGGTGACGTAGGCAAGTAGATCTCCAGTAGATCTTCGGTGGCGAAAGCCGTATTGTTTATCATTGATGATTCCTGAGCTCTCCAGATATTTGATAAGTTCAATATTGATGGCTTTCTCCATCACTTTGGAGATTACTGATAACAGGGCAATGGGCCTGTAGTTGTTGGGCAGGTTCTTGTTCCCTTTTTTGGGGATTGGTTGGACTCTAGCTGTCTTCCAGCATGATGGAAAAATACCCGACCTGTACGAGATGGAAAACAACTTGCAGAGAATCGGTGTTAATTCTGGTGCACATTTTTTGAGGATAATGGGTGGAATTCCATCAGGACCGTTAGCCTTATTCGTTTTGAGACCAAGCAAAATTCGTCTTAAAGTGCGTTGACGGAAGACGATTTCGGGCATTCGGCTATCAAGGGGTGGAATGTCTGGCGGCAGTTTTCCTTGGGAATCTAAAGTAGAGTTTGCTGCGAACATCTCTGCAAAAATATTTGCTTTCTCCTGCGATGTTGTTGCTAATGTGCCGTCGGATTTGGACAGTGGTGGAAATGAACTATTAGTGAAATTTCTTCCGACCGCTTTAGCAAGGGACCAAAACGAACGGGAGCCATTGGGGCAATCTATGAGTTTCGATCTTATCTTGGCATTGTATGTTTCTTTCGAGGCATCTATTGTTTGGCTGCAGCTATTCCTGGCATCAACGTATTCTGTTCTAGTCGCGAGGTTAGGGTTTTTGCGCCAGCGATGGTAGGCTGTTTGTTTCAAGTCAACAGTTCTAGAACAGTTTTTGTTGAACCAGGGTTTCGAAAGTGATGATCTTTTCAAAAAATGAGGTATGTATGTTTCCATTCCGAGCATGATGATCTCGGATATTTCCGCAGTACACTGTGAAGGGTCCTCAGAGTCAAAGCATACTCTATGCCAAGGAAACTCGGAGAAAAACATGCGGAGACCTTCCCAATCTCCTGAATTGTAATGCCATATAAGACGTGGGGGTGCCGGAGCAGTTGATGGAATGAAAAATGGGCAGGTTGTGGAGATGAGTGTGTGGTCAGAATTGCCAAGTGGAGCTCGTACATCTATGGTGTAGGGTGCTGAATTATTAGTGAGGAATAAGTCAAGTATGTTAGCTGAATGGTTATTGGCATCGAGAATTCGTGTGGGTTCTTTGATAAGCTGCTCTAAGCCGTGAGTGATGGCGAAAGCTTCGGCTTGTCGCCCAGCTTTATCCGTTCTGTTAGAGTGTACGAGCCAAGCAGTGTTGTGTACATTGAAATCGCCCATGATGATGATTTCTGCTGCTGGATGGTTTTGTTGAATTTGGTCAAGCTTCAGAGACAAGAATTCGAAGAGCTCTTCATAGGATGGATCATTTGGTGATAAGTAGAGACAACAAAGGTATTTGGTCTGTTTCTGGCTATCGAGTTTGAACCACATGACATCAAACTTATTTGGTTCCAAAGTTTTTTCTCGTTGACATGAGAGATTTGTTTTAGAGTAGAGGCAGAGACCTCCCTTGAATCTGAAACGTGTGTGGAGTTCGTACCCAGGACAGAGCAGATAGGTCGTATTGGTGGATGAATTGACCTGTGTCTCAATAAGAGCCAATATGTCTGGCTTTTCAATTTGAAGGTGTCGATGGACATCGTTGATGTTCTTACTTAGACCTCGGATGTTACATAGGTCTATCTTGAGGACTTTTTCAGCCGATGGTGAACCCCCTCTAGCACCTGTCGCCCGGAAATCCGAATGGAGAGGTATTTTACTTCCGGATAATTTTACTTGAGGAGAACTCATCATCGCGTATTCTGTATAAAGAAGGGAGGTTGGCGTGGAAGGAAAAGGAAATTGGGTTGGTTTGGGTGGGCCGGAACATCAACCAGCTACTGAAACACGGGTAAGTATACCCATTTCACAGTGCCTATGGTTGATGTGGTGGTATCGCACCGGGCGATGACGTTAACCATCTTCCACCTATTGGCGTCCTTTTAGTCGCCTTCTACGACAGGCAGGACTTACCGTGGGGTTATTCTAATCCGACCACCACACGGTTAAATCAGTCGAAAACCAGAATCATACTGAACAATATTGCACTAGATAGTCATGTAAAGGCTTGTCTGGCGCCAGTAACATATTGCTTTTAAGTTATGCGTAATTTGATTATAGCACAATTCTCAGAACTTTGGAAACATCTCTCGTACAATTATCATTGCTCATGAATGTAAGACCAAGAAGTGAGAAGCTAAAGCAAGTGGAAAAATCACCAGATTTGCGTACTTTGCAAAAAAAGCGTTCTTTGTCGTTTCTCGCAGATATAATAATTCATAATCTATAGCAAACACAACATTTATAGCTATTTGAAGTGGAAAAAATTGAATTTAATTAGTGTTCTTATTGTCAATAATTTTTGCTAACCATAGTATGCATGAAACAGGTCAGTGATTACAAGTTTATAGAGCTGCATAGTGAAATTTGTGAAATAGTATAATCCTGGAGTGCAGTCTCAACGAATTTATCGGTGCTGCCATCTGTCTTACGATAGCACTATAATTTATAATCTTTTTGGTACTGCACTGAATCATATTGAAGTCAACTCCTGCTTTATTCAATACATGCAGAATCCTGTAGAATCGGCGATGATAAAGAGTTATCTTTAGCAGTGATTCATCAACAGTACGAAACTTCAATCAAATTATCGACAAACTTGCATCAAAAGATAGATGGCGTCAGTAGTAATATCAGAAATGATATTGTAGAACTACGGAGCAAACTTGATTCTAGAATATCAGATTTGAGAACTTATGTACCGGGTGAACAACTAATAACGGCTGTCGGCCATATCCTAGCAACGAATGATGATACAAGTTTGAGATAGAATAAATCTAATGGTATGCATATCATTACACGATGTAATAGAGAAACTGGATGTCAACAGACCAACGAAAACCGCAACATGATAGGTTCTCGCCAACGGAAGATATTAACTATCAAAGTTGGGAGAATTATATATATGACAGCCGTTCTTAGTTGTTCACCCGGTACATAATGTGGAAGAGGAGAATGCGGAATTAAGCCATCGTCTAGATGTACTGGAACGTAAAGCTAGAAGCGAAAATCTGATATTTTATGGTGTACAGGAACAACAAGTAGAAACAAATGATTGTTTGTTAGCAACAATAGAAAAAATTATTGAAGAAAATTTGGAAAACCAAGGGGGCTACTGGTGGAGTTTGTGAGTAATTTTACTCGGAAAAATATCCTCTCAAGAAGAAATCAGTTGAAAGGCTCTAGGATTTTTGCAGCTGAAGATCTATGCGAAAAAGATAGGAAAGAAAAAAAAAATTCTTTGAGAACAT